CCTTTCTTGATACTTGAACTATATATAGTTAAACTTCTATATAATCACACCCTATATAATCACACTTCTATATAAAAATCTGATTTTGTGAAATAGACTTTAACTTAGTAAATTTACCTCTTTATAATCACAAATGAATTATAATCACTATTACTGCATGATCTGTAACATACATATTATTTTCATTAGTCATTTGACCTCTTTATAAGCATAAATTTCTGATTGGTCATAAATTAATGAATTTCCATTAACTACAAATTAATCTTTATCAATTGATTATCATTTTTTTTTATTAATCTTATAATAAAAATCCATTTTTCTTTACCTATAACTTTATTTTTTTCTTTTTGTTTTCTTTTATTATTAAGCAGATAACTGATTAAAAAGTAAAACAAAACATAAAATATTTTAAGAATATTATTTGTCTCGCTCAACCTAGCTTAATTTCACTCAACCTTACTTAACCTTGCTCAATCTTACTCAACTTCGCTCAATTATTATTGTTGATAGTTTTTAATGATATCTTTTTTTTGATTATCATTATTGCTAAATTTACTTTACTCTTTCTTAATCTTTTACTGTTGAAGTTTCATTAATTTCATTGCTAAGTTTACCTTACTTTTTTTTAATCTTTTGCTGCTAAATTTTATTGGTCACTACCTTACTTCTTCTCTGATTTTTTATTGTTAGATTTTTGTTAGTGACGTACTTTCTCTGTAATTTTTGTTGGTGACATACTTTCTTTTTAATTTTGTTATTAGATTTTTATTGTTGGGTTTTTGTTGATGACATACTTCCTTTTTGATTCTTTGTTTAATTTTTGTTAGTAACTTGCTGAGTTTCCATTACTTCCTCTTTAATTTTTTGCTATTAGATTTTGTTAGTGATTCGTTAATATTTTTTATTCCTTATCTTTCTTATTATACCTTCTGATCGACAGCCTAAACAATACCATTCAGCTATTAGTGATGATCTTAGATGTCAAATATGTGAATGATCAGATGTTAATAAGAATAAAAAATATCATGAAATTACTGCTTACTTTAATAAGAAATACTTAGATATAAATATTAATCGAAGTACTGTATCTAAAATTCTGAAAGAAAAAGATAAGTGAAAGGCTGTAGTTAGTGCTAAAGTTTTAAATAAAACATTTAGATAGGCATTTTTTCTTTATAATACTTTGAAATTTCATTATAAGCTTATGAATTCTTTAAAAATTTAGGCATAAAGAAATTAAATTTCCAATGTTAGATTATGCTATAAGTTTATGAGTGGAAAATGTAACAGCTAGAGGTGTTACTTCAACTGATTTACTAATTAAAGAAAAAGCTAGGATTTTTGCTCAAGTATTTAATATACCGAAAAGTAATTTGACTTTTTCTAACAGATGGTTGGAGAAGTTTAAAAAACACAACCATATTCAAAGATATTGTGCACATGAAGAAGTGAAAAATATTCCATTAGAATCACTTCTAGAAGAACAGATGAAATTACACAGACTTTTAGGCCAATTTACCCTTGACCAAATTTATAATATCGATAAAACAGGTATTTTTTACTAAATGCCTCTGAATTAAACACTTTCAACACACCCTATTACTGATTAAAAAAAAAAGATAAAACCAGAATAACAGTTCTTCTCAGTACTAATGTGACAGAAACTGATAAACTTATACCATAGGTTATCAGTAATGTAAAACGTCCAAGACCTTTTTCATAAATTAATTTAGAGTGGCTTTCTGTTCATTACCATGCAAACCCTTAGGCGTGGATGAATTCTTCTATTTTTGAAGAAGTGCTTTGTCATATGGACAGCTATTTCAGAACGTAGAATAAAAAAATTCTGCTCTTAGTTAATAATGCATCATCGCACTTTAACCCACATTATTATTTTTTGGATACAGCAGTTGAACAAGGTAATAAGAATTGCAAAAAATTTTTTAATTCAATTTTAAATGATATTATTTATTAAGTTTTTTTTATAGTAAAGGACCTTTTAACTGAAGTTATAATTAAATATTTTTATTTTAATTATATTAATGTTGATTGAGATAATGCCAATTCTGATAGTAGTGATGATGATGATTCTAATACTGGTCAATCAACTTCATTTGAAAATTCTAATGAAAGTCAATTAAGAATGCTAAGATCAACGCGTGGTATGTTTTAATACTAAAATTAATATAATATTTTAAAAATTTTACTAATTTTACTTAAAACATAATTAATAGGTCACCGTAATAATAATAGTAATAGTTTTCAGCTTAATTTGACTCATATTGAGATAGCTTTTTTATCACCTAATATTATGAGTTATCTTCAACCACTTGATGCTGGAATCATTAAGAGCTTTAAAGCTCATTATAAATGAAACTATTGCTGACATATTTTAAAACTTTTGAAGAAGGCAAAGATATAAACAAGGAAAAGGTTAATATCAAGGAAACTATTAATTACTTAGCAGACACATAGAAAAATGTAACTGATGACAATTTTTAATTGTTAGGTTAAAACTGAAATGTTATCTTTTTTAACTGAAGATAATATGGCTGATGTAATATAAGTTTAACAAGATGTTCTAAATCGCAAAACATCAGATACTAATCAAATTATTAAAGATTTAGGCATAGTATCAAACAATCTTCTTGCTGCTTCATTAGCAAATGTACTAAATGATTACTTTTGTGATTTGGAAGGAGAAATATCAACTGAAGACATTTTAGATGAAAATGATATCATCAAATTGATTCAAGAAGAAATGAATGATGAGAATGATAATTTGGATGATTCTGAAAATAAACTAATATTAGTTTCTTTAGATGATATAATAAAATCTTTACAGACTTGAATGAGTTTTTTTGAACAGCAAGAAGTGAATGAATTTAAAGTTGATGATGAGTGCGTTTTTAAAAAGTATCTTAAAACAGTTCAAAAACTTAAATTGCAAACTAAAAAGCAAGTTCTAATAACTGATTTTTTTACTCATGAAAATTAAATTTTCTATTATTAAAAGATATGCTATTTTATAATTAATAAATAATAATGAAATAAATTTACAATTATTATATATTATCAACAGAAAAAATTGCAACTCCAAATATCACGTGGGATATGTCAATCAATGATGATATCACATTAGATGATGTTACTGCTGTGCCAAACAGTAATCAGCAATAATTTCTATTTCATCTATTACGTTTGTTTCTTTTGTATTTTCTATACAGTCTGTTTATTCTGTTTCGCTTGTAATTTCTTTAACATCTGTAATTTATTTTATTTCTTTTTATTATTCTTATTATTTATATTATTTTTATTATTTTATTATATTTAAGTATATTTTTATTGGAACATATATCTATATTTAGTTAACTTATAGCGTAGTAAGTAGCAAATTAATTTTGTATAAATAGAATAGCTTTTTGCTTAAATTGTAAATTAACTCATTTATAAGTTTCATACAAGTTTCAAGTTATAAATAAAGGAATCAATTTAAATCCACACAAACTACTTTTTCCTTCAACGTTGTCTCCCATCTAAGATTGTTGTGATACACTACACTAACTTGCTATTGAGTTCATCATTACAAGTTCGACTAATATATCTTAAATTCTAAGACGTGATAAATTGTCGAGTTGATTTAAGTATAGCGAATACCTGTAGGACTTAGAGAAAATCCTAAGGTCAGAAACTCCAATGTGTAGAATCAGCTACCGCAGCCTTTCAACTTAGATGTTAAGATAAATGAAAATGAACCCAGTGACAATATATACTCAATTTTTAGGTTTTATATATTAACATATTTTAAGAGTTGCAATATAATTAAATTTAAATGAACTTTCAACTAGTCTTTTTTATATAAGATGAAAAAAAAATTCAAGAGAAAAAAAATTTGTTAATAATTATATTGGATTATATTCAAACACAACTATAATTTACAAAATTATCAACAACTTTAAATGATAATCAAAATTATAAATATATGCTTCTTGATTATTATAAAAAATACAATAATTTATAATGTAAATCCTATATCAGCTATAATTTTTTATACTTTTTTAATAAAGTATTTATTTCTGAAATTGAAAAAAAAAATTCAATAATTCAAATATTATACTAGTAGTAAAAAATCCATTAATAATTTGTAACAGAATCACCAGTGTAAAAAAATCAACTAATAAATTAAAAAATTAATAATAATATATTATAATCTATAATTAATTTAAATAATTATGAATCTACTTATATAGCGCAAAATATAGAAACATAACTATTAAATGAAATTCAAAATATATTTTCAATACCTATTATTTAATTTTCACAGTTTTTTATTATAATAAATCAACTTAGGTAAATGTATTTATATTTATGTTTAATGAAAAAATTTTTATTTTAATATAATAATTTATTAATAATTGTAACGAATACTTTATCAAATCCATTGCCATTGAAAGTATCGGAATATTTAAATAATATTTCAATAGGAAAAAGTATGTATTATATTAAATTTAATATAAATGCCTTTTAATAATATATATAATCTAATTTTAAATTTATATATCTACCAATATTATGATTAAATAATATTAATTATTCCTTATAGAAATAGAAAATGATAATCGGATTACAAATTTGAAATCGGACTAATATTGCATAAATGCAATCAAAAGAATTAAATGAAGTCTTGCCCATATCGGGCTGTAATTTTTTTCACATGATCTGCAACTCAAACTTGGAGTTGTAGAATGTATGTAGTGATCGTTTTGTGAAATGTATCACCTGCACGTTAAATGCCTATTCCGGTTAACTCCTCAATCTGGATCATACTGAAATAGCATTTGTGAACTTCGATACGTGTTATAAAAATGCACAAAGTGGCACGCGTCTTCTAGCATTTATCTTATAAAATTGTCGCGGGTTAGATCGATACAACAAGCAATATTTTTCTTGTTATTTACATTGTATTTTCGCAACTTATTTTCACTAATAATACCTATATAATGTCTACTTCACTTCGAGAAGTTTATATCGGTCATAACGAACTCGTCTCATATTTAAGAGAATGTAAAAATAAATCATTCTGGGGCTTCCTATCATGTTATCGAAATATTATAGTAACTTCAACGATAGAATCTTCGGCAACAATTTTGCAGGATCTTAATAATACTTGGGTCCAATATTTTTTAACAGAAGCGAAAAGGATATTAGACCGAGATATTTTTGATACCTTAGAAAAAAAGGTGCGTTTTTTATTTTGCAGAAGGAGGTAACTCCTGATCGAGTCCAGTGTGTCGTTGACTCAGGAGAATTACTGGATATGACCACTTGGTAGCCACTCCAAGTCCTCTATTCAGGCACCCTATTTTGTCGTTAATAAAGGTCTGCTTATTCTGGATGAGGAATTGGCTATGTACATGTACCTTCCTTTATTACTAAGTAAAATCGCACACCATTAACACTTATCTATAATAGGTCCAATCGGAACGTTCACGTCGCGAAAAAGATTTGGGGGATTATTGGGGGGGGGGGGAGTAATTTGGGAATGTAATAAGGTGCGTAATTTTTTCTTGGCAAAAGTGATCGGCGTTCACGCGCACGTGATTTTGCGATGTAAAGTCCGATCTAATGCAGTGTATTTTGTTGCATTTAGCGACGTATCCTCTTAGAATATGAAGCCGAAAGGGAGCGCATTCTTTTTGCTCTTACTGAAATAGATGAAAAAATAAGGCTGGAGAATGTCGATCTTGCAGTTTCTTCAAGCAAATACGATGAAGATATATCGGAAAATGGATCTAATTCAAAGCCAGATTTTGCTGAAGGCTTCGGTGGAGATTTTGGTGGATTTTCAGATGGGGATCCTGTAGAAGTAGACAATAATGGTCTTTCCAGTGATAATGTAGGTGGTGATTCAGGATCTCAGAATCCTCAGCGAAAAATTAATAGGAAAAGAAAGAGAACTGCACCACCCTTAACCCGAGAAAGAAATCTTCGTCACCAGGAACGGGTAAATTACAATGTGGGATCCCCATTAAGAAAGCATCGCAGAAATAAGCCTGTAAGTATAATCTGTATGCTCTTGAGGTGGAATGGTCAAGTCGCGTGATCTAAATAACTTTTTGCATATAGTTTCAACAACCGGCATCATCACCACCACCTGAAAGCTCTGGTATCCCTTTCCTGGTACCATCATCACCACAAATATCCCTGCCACCGCTATCACCTAGAGATATAATTTGTAATCATGAATGTCCGTTACATTGCTTTTCCGATAGCATCTAATTTCTTCTTGTACCATATAATAAAGTTCATCTGAAAAGGCTTGTACACTCCCCTGACACGGTTCATGGGAAAATTTTTAATAATATTAAATACATTAATTTTTTATAGATTTTTAATTCTAAATTTTTCAAAAAGTTAC